CATTCGGGTCATCACAAAAGATTTTTTTTTGCTACGAAGAGCTACCCTCTTTGGGCACTTCTTGAAAACAGAAATGGGGAATAGATATCTTCAACAACTTTGAAAATAAATGTTGTGAAGTTGGACTGAATTTGGTAAATTTAGTGAGTGTATGTACAGACAGTGCACCTTCCATGACAGGAAAACATGAAGGGTTTATCGCACAGATAAAAAGAAGTATGAACAGATCCAGATGCTTTCATGTCTTTTCATTGTACCTTGCATCAGCAAAATCTCTGTGCTAAAGCTACTACTTTAAGTGAAACTTTGCAACAAATTATAAGTATTGTTAATCATATTCTTGCAAATACAACATAGCATAGTCAGTTTTGTAACATGCTAAAGTTGAATGATGAGGTATTCGTGTGGGTTTGCCATATCATTCTAAAGTGCATTGGCTATTGCCAGGACAGGTGTTAGCCAAAATTTTATCTCTGCAAGAACACAGTTAAATTTTATGTAGAACATAACCAGCAATGTGAATTACTGAAAGACGATTTCTATAGGAATGCAGCATTTTTGTGTGATACCATGTCAAATCCAAACAACTTGAATATTTCTTTGCAAGGTAAAACTAAGTCTATATATGACATGTGGCAAAAACTCCAAGCATTTTGAAAAAAGCTATATTTTTTCAAAACACTTCTTCAAAAGGAAGTTTTGGATGAACATTTTCCTTGGCTAGCAAAGGTTATTGATGAGCAGAATGATATATGCAAATTATTTGAAGAATGTGTAGCTGTTATAGACCTATAATAGCTGGAGAATATAATGAAAGGTTCACTGACTTTGAGAATCATGACATCACACTCAAATTAGCATTTCATCTTCACCTAGTTGCTATCACCAAGGCACCTAAAGAACTACAGATGGAATTGATTGAGCTCTCAGTAGATGACATGTTAAAGTCATTGTCGGATGCTAAGAAAGATCCAATTGAAATATGGAAAAATGCAGTAGAATACCCACACTTTTGGCAACATGCCTGAAAAATGCTTTCTTGCTTTTCCACCACTTATTGCTTCGAATCTACATTCTCCTACCTAACCCAAATCAAGACGCCCTTAAGGTCACAAATGACTGATACCCATCTAGAGGATCAACTGGAACTGTGGACCTCCATGCTGCAACCAAATATTCAAATGCTTTCCAACAAAAAGCAGACACAACAAAGCCTTTAAAAGGTTAGTTAACTTTAAAATTAACAAATAGGTTTCATTTTTTGAAATTATTAAGTACATAGTAGTTAGATTTTTATAAAATAATGTACACTTGTAAGTACATCTACTGAAAGTTTCTTGAATGCAACCTTATTTGATTATAGCTAAATTAATGCGGCTTCCCACGTGAAAAGGTTCCCCACCCCTGACTTTGACTTTTACCTGGGGAGGGATGGCAGCCCTTGAAAGGTTTTGGACGGAGGAGTGGCGGCCTGACCTCCCATTTTAGAGGGCCATGTTGAGGATAAACTGAGGTTGGGAAGGGCAGAAGAAGAGAGATGAGCTGGGAGATGAGTGCAGAATCCGGGTGGGTTTGTCAGGGAAGTGAGTGGCAGTTTATGGGCAGTTTATGGCCTGTGACATATCTTTTACAAGTTGAGTTCCAACTGCCAGCACCAAACATTGCCTAAGCACTTCGTTGTTTACCCAGAATCAGGCTGGCACAGAGAGGCAGGTGGAAAACCCTTCCAAGTACAAGTGCATAAAGCGGCAAGTTGCCCTGCTTCTTGGCCCAGATCTCCCATAAAGGACTCTCGTGTTTACGTTGCTGGAGGTTTCTGGTTCCTTCCAACAATTGCTTTAAAAGAATCTCAGAGTCTGCATTCCACTTTTCACTTT